TTACATCGTTGTCAATCGATTGTGTAAACACTATGGAACAGCTGATCGGAACGTGCGCACTGTTGACGTTGACAGCAGCGCGGATTGATAGAAATGGATAGAAAATAGTGCCGATTAAAACTGAGGTATGAATTTTGACCGGCGTGTTTTTTGTGTGGTAAATTAATCAAGCTTTGAAACGCAAATAATTTTTTCACGTAAAAACGCACAGTTTTGTGGCACCGGAAAATAACCGGGAGTACTTTATTGAAAAACTTCCAGCGGCCAGAACTCTGACCAGGGAGGTGACAACAGAGTGGGTCAGTGTGTATGCACTATAGTGCTGGTAAGGATTGCATACAACTTCATGTCTTAAATGGGCGAACTAACCCTTTAAGGTTAAAGCAACACCAAGTAACTTTTCCTCAGCGGTCGCCCTACAGGTTGGAAGCGGAATTGTCCATTACCGCTGTCGTAAATAATTTAGCCTACCGCAGCCTACGGTCGCACGCGCACGCTCGCTGTTTATCCAGCACCGGCTTTGGAATCAACAATGGCAGACATCCCAACCTGCAAGAAGTCATTTCAGGGAGGTATATCTTGGTGACTGGATTGTTAACGGGGGGGGCAGGGGGGGCGGGTTGCCTAGCCTTCGTGAGGCACACTCGCAAGGTCTCTCGCTCTCTCCCTCTCTGCCGTGCTCGCGCTATGTATGTTATGCGCGCAGTATGTTCTATCTCGCATGCGCGCTCTAGATTCCGGCAGATTTGAACTAATTTGCGGGCATCAGGGAGACGCTATAGACTTGGGATGTCTGCAATGGCCATAGACAATTTGAGGAAGTGGTGGGGGAAGTGACGTATGCCGTAAAGCAGTCGAGTTTTGTAGTTCTTTTTGTGCTCGGGTTACTACTACCCGAAACCCGAAGTTACATAGTGCGAGTAAAAGCGATACAGACCACGTCAGGCTATGGCAGACGTGTCATTTAACCTATTGTAAGTCGATGTGCCATCACAAGGGTCTTGGAAATATATTATGAAGGTTGAAAAGTTCCATAGTGTTGCTTTAAACCACTGGAGTCACATGGACTATTTTATCGATGTCTTTCCTACCTTTCTGGGCCTTGAAAGTGGTGATTACGTTGCAGTCTATGGAGGGACAGAAAGCTCTCAGATTTCATCAAAAATATCTTCATTTGTGTTTCTGAAGATGGACGAAGGTCTTCCGGGTTTGGAACGACGCGAGGGGGAGTAATTAATGACAGAAATGTCATTTTTGGGATAACCCCTAATTTAATCATTTCACAATGACAGATATATTTGCATTTTTAAATGAAACTATAATGTATAATTTAATGATCATTCATTTGTATTGTATTTCAAATATATTTAATAGAAAAATAAAATTCTTGGATTGCTTTCATGCTCTTCCCTCATTTGACAGGCTCTGTTACTGGGGGAAACTGTAAAGAGCTTGCGGCCCAGGCTGACATTGATGGCTTCCTGGTTGGAGGTGCTTCCCTTAAGCCTGAGTTTGTTGACATCATAAATGCCCGCTCATAGAGATGCTCAACCGTTTTGAGGGTCCAAACTGCAGCACTAATAAGTATACACCAGCTTCTTGTCATTCCAGCAGGTCTGAATGTTTATTTGTGGTTGTATTGCTTTAACTCACCTGCTTGTTAAATGGTTGAGTTGGGTTCTTGGTCTGGAATACTAATAGTATCTCCCTTCCTACTAAAAATGTGTTAATATAAAAGTAGGAGAGAGCTCGGGCACGTTAGTTCTTTATTTGCTGCTGCGCTCGAGTAAACCACTGTATTGTCTATGCACTTGCAGAGCACATTACTTGAAGTCTAACACACTGTACACTCCACACTGATGAACTTACAAGACCAGCGGTGAAGTTTGTAGTGACTTTAAGAGCACTTTATCCTCTGTAGAAATGACTACCTCGGTAGAAAATAAAAAATGTACTTGAAAATGGTGTCTTCACTTGGGCTAAAGATTGTTTTTCTGCTTTCATCACAGACTTAAATGCTGTGCATACTGAAACTAAAGACTACATGGTGTAAATTATTTTAAGGCCATGTTTACACGGAAACGATCTGAAGAGAAAACGCAAAAGTGGCGTTTCGTTTTCACTTTTTATTCTGCGTTTAGACGAGCGTTATGGGGGGGAAATCTGCGTGCATATGGAGACGCAAAAGTGTTAGAAATGCGATGTAGTATGCACTCCAGGCGGCTAGGTGGCAATGTGAAGCACTGCCACACAACAACAACAAGTCCGTGCGCCTGCTTACAACCTTCCTTCTACTTCTCTCCCTAGTAGCGCGAAATTGAAAAGACTCTTGGACGTTTATCAGAGCTGCTAGGGCAACTTGAAGGTCCGACGTATGGAAATAATCCGACATGTTGGTTGTTATTTTCCTGTACTGGCGCATGCCTGTGACGTAAATGCGTACGCGACGAGAGCCGCAATGAGCAGATTTGCGTTTTTACCCGTTTAGACGGAAACGCGACGGTGGAGCGTTTTTAAGATTTCCACTTTGGAGGGTGGTTTCACTTTTTTGCGTTTTTAAGCCCCAAAAACGCCGTCGCCGTGTAAACGAAAGGCACATCCGATAAAATATTATTACGTTTTCACCCGGAATCGTTTTCGTGTAAACAGGGCCTAAGAGTATTTTTACATTTGTGTGTGTGTTGTGCTGCTTCATATTTTTGTGCAAACCGTGAATCATTGTTCAGGATTCTTTGACTGAATATAAAGTTCAAAAGAACAGCATTTATTTGAAACAGAAATCTTTTGTAACATTATAAATGTCTTTACTGACACTTTTGATCAATTTAACAGAAAGTATTCATTTCTTTCAAAGAAAAAACGTACTGACCTCAAACTTTTGAACAGTAGTGCATGTATTTTTAAATATCATTTTACGTTTTGTAATGTAGGTGACAAGAGCAGCAATTTTTAAAACCCATAAAAGCATTCACATGTTCTGTTTTGATGTTTCATAATTGAGCATCTAAATGGCGAAAAGCCATTTAAACGTCCTCCTCTGCTTTTAAAGAAGAGAAGAAAACACACTTAGAGACTCGAGGGTGACGAAAGTAATGACAGCTTTAATATTCCATAACATTATTCTTTGACAGGCTTGTCAGTTCTTTTTTTATTTTCTCTCCATCTTGCTTTCTTTTCCTTCTTTCACCACGACAATCCCACAAAATAACGAAAAGACAAGTCATCGAGGAGAAAAAAGATTTCAGGTAAGGGGGAACAAGCCAAGTCATAACCACAAGAAGGGAAAGGGGTGGAGGATACAGATGAAACAACGAGAAAGGAAGAAACACAGACTGCAAGTCCAAGGTGGCAGAGAATAAGGAGTCGTGTGCGTTGAGGGTGAGACTTTGCTACACAAATGTGAGTGAATGTGTGTCTCTATCCGTGTAAGCGTGTCTGTCGGTCGAGTTCTTGAATTGGATCCGTCATTGTGATTGTTATGTCTCTTTCGTTCACTGCTGGATTAAGATCATTCATCTCGAAGGAGAAGCGTGTCATTTCTACTGCTCTCTCTGCCCCGTCTCTTATGATTTGGACGAAGGTAGCTCTGCCCCAAACACATGCCATCGGTTGAGCCAGAGATCAGTGTGCCACAGATCAACAGTATTTACAATCTTTAAGAAAATCTACCTACGAATGGCTCACTTAATATCCACATTAAGATGGGAGAGGAGGAAGGGTTTTACCCATTTAAAGGGACAGTTCACCCAAAAATGAAAAATTCTGTCATCATTTACTCACCCTCAAGTTGTTCCAAATCTGTGCAAGTTCCTTTCTTCTGCTGAACACAAAAGTAGGTATTTTGAAGAATGCTGGTAAGATACTATGGAAGTCAATGGCTACCGTCAACTGTTTGGTTATCAACATTCTTTAAAATCTTCTTTTGTGTTCAGCGGAAGAAAGAAACTCATACAGGTTTGGAAGAACTCGAGGGCGAGTAAATGATGACAATTTTCATTTTAGGGTAAACTATACTTTTAAAGAAAATTCACTTCCCCTTTAAGATCCAGGGTGAAAGAAAATGCGAAAGTACATTTTAAGAGTCATTGCATGAGAAAATCAGGCAGACGTATGAAGATTTAGGGACTTTTGAATATAATTATTGTTATTTGAAGTGACGTGAACTTTGTTCAATACTTTTAGATTTAATTATCTATAAATAGTGTGTGTGTGTGTGTGTGTGTTGATCTATGTAGGGTGAAGGTGATAATAACATAATCACACGAGGACATATTTGAGACCTCGCAACTCAATGACAATGATATACAGAAACTTATGAACTTTCAATGTTGGTTTAAAAAGTGAAGTATCTTTATGAAAAGAAATATATTCTACAGGCATTATTTTGAATTTTTAATATACTAAAATGAATGATTTTTTTTTTTTTAAGTCAATGTTCAAGCACCATATTTTATTTTATTTGCTGATTTGCTCTTTTCTTTTGATTGAATAACAGTTTGTTTTAAAAGGCTCTTTTTCTTCAGCATGCTTTTGGGTCAGAGATGGACACAAAAACTGCATCTGAGAAAGAGAGTACTGTATGATAAAAAGCCTCTAATGCCCTGGGCAAACTACTTAGTAAACTGTCTTTAGAGTAAACGCTGGTCCCATATATATCTGAATACTTCACTGTGTCAATCTTCCCATTAAAAAACTCACTGCTGCATTAATATTCATGTAACTATTTTATTTGTCTACCATTTCTACCATGTCCTCATGCAATGAACCATAAAATTTCTTACATTTGATTTCTTTAGAGTGGCAAGTCAATCTAGATTTTGTTTTAAATGTATTTACATATATTTCACATCTAAATTGAAGCTTAAATTGAAAGATTACACCTGATTCAAATAAATCTCTACTTTTATTCCATCTGAGTTAAATCCTTCTTTTTAGACAACAAAGACACAAGTCTTTGCCTTGTTAGATTCAAGGTTCATTTTCTGTATCTTACGCACCCTGTGCACATGTTTTGCCCGTCAAGTACCTCAGAATCACTTGTGCATAATGTTGGTCTGTCCAGGATCCACTGTGCATAATATTTGGTCTATCAACGCCTGTCCGCAGTCCAGTTCAGTTTTAAATACATATTTTGAGTGTCTGAGTAAGTCGTTTTTAGTATCTCAGTGCAAATAGTGCTGTTTTGATGCATTTTGAATGATTTTAGGGAATGTCAGGGGTAGTCAGTCGTTCAGTGCAGTACATACTCTGTTTGTCAGTTGTTTTTTTCGTGTGAATTCGGTGCGGTGACGTCAGCCTCACAGAGCGCTAGGGTTTCTGAAATTGTGCCCGGCGAAACGAGCCTGATCACCCAATTCTTCTTCAATCCTGTGAGGCAGAAAAAAAAAGAGACAGATGGACATTGATTAATTATATGGGAACAGGAGGTGACGGAGAAAGAGCTAGAAGCCTGTAATCAGCAATGTTAATCAAAGTAATTATATTGGTTCTTTTTGCGGCCACTGTTATTTTTGAGACTGGGGCTTTTTAAGTTCAACAGTCAGTTATTATGCAAGTTGAGTCATTTTCTTTAAGGCACAAATGGGATCGAAATGAATGATTTTTAAATTTTTTGACGAAAATATGAATGATGTTTCTGTGGGATACTAGTGGCACTACAATGTTAGAATTGTTGCCAGGGCGTTGCTATGGTGGTTTAAGTGGTTGCTAAGTGGTTGATTACTGGCCAGTGGCCAACAACCTAGCAATGCGCTAAAAATTGCAAAAAGATTTCAAAACGCACCAAAAAAACTCAAAATATGGCTCAAGTCTTTCATTCAATGGAAGTCTCTGGGATTTTTGCTATGGAAACCTGTTTCCACCACAGAATAAAAAATGTAATTGCACATTTTTAATCTCACAATTCTGACTTTCTCACAATTGCGAGAAAATGTCCGAATTGTGAGACAAAAAGTCACAACTACCTTTTTTATTTTTTTTATTCTGTGACGGAAACAAGCAACAATCAATGAAAGATGCGTTAAGCAAGACGTTCGGTACTTAAGTGTTAGATACATAAGCATAAGTATGTATGAACAATAAAAACAGCAACACTAAAAATATGATTAGAAGTTGTTTCAACAAGCAAAATAAACCCTAACCCAAAATAAATACCTCTTTGGAGATGCTTTGCTAAAATAGTATGTTAGATTTTACCAACTCTTTCCTCGACAGGGTAAAAAAAAAAAAAAATGTCAGTCGCCGCCAGCTTTTTTGATAATTTTCACAAAATGAATGTGGGTAGGTTTTTAAAAAACCTCTCTGGATCGGATTCAGACCGATGATCAAAACATAGATGGAGTAGATCGAGTTCATCAACACCCCTAATGCTTCACAGTCCTACAGCTCGTCCTGGGTCGACACTTCATTCGGTAACATTAGGCAGTTTTGATTGATATGCTGTTTAATGTTGATGATCGCGTTATTTTACATATGCATCTTCTTACATTATGCTATCCCTTGTTTCTGCTTCTTCTTCACCTGTTTTAATCAGGAGATTCAGTATTCTTTCAGAAGATGCGTAATAGCGCCCCCAACAGTATAATAGTGAAAACATGGTAAGCCGGAAAATTCCGTCAATGGCGGGAAAGAGACAATTTTGGGGAAATCAATGGATGTTTTTAATGCATTGCTAAAAATAGTGTGTTGAACGCTCTCTTGCCTCATAAGTTGGTTGTATTTGGCGAGACGCTCAGATCTACACGGAGCTCCTGTCTTTATCTGAAAGATAAGAGAGATAAAGAGTGAAAGTTGGTCAAGTTAATCAAACTTTTTTGTAAAGCACATCATAAATATATAAACCATATCATTTCTGTACTTACTGGTTACATTTGTGTAAGTGTGCGTACCTGTCCAGTGCAGAGTCCCACCACTAGATCAGCGATAAAAGTGTCTTCTGTCTCTCCTGAGCGATGGCTGACCATCACGCCCCATCCGTTGGCCTGAGCGAGCTTACATCTGAGGGATACACAGTTCAAAATGGGAAGGTAAGGAGCTAGAAAATGCTGGTTTATTAGACATAGTTTAGAGTTACTCACGCCTGGATGGCCTCTGTGACGGTGCCGATCTGGTTAACCTTCAGGAGCAGACAGTTGCATGCGCGGTCTTCCGCTGCCTTCTCTATCCTCTTTGGGTTTGTCACGGTCAGGTCGTCGCCCACAATCTGGATCCCCACTGAACCAGTCATGTTTGTCCAAGCGGCCCAGTCATCCTGATCAAACGGGTCTTCAATGGACACCACTGTCAATGACGATGGGAACAAAAACATGATAGAATACTCTGGGTTTTAAAGGGATAGTTCACCCAAAAATGAAAATTATCCCATACTTGACTCACCCTCAAGCCATCCAAGGTGTATATGACACACAATCGGAGTTAAATTATAAAATATCCTGGCTCTTCCAAGCATTATAATGGGAGTGAATGGTACCCAAGATTTTGAAGCTCATATCCATGCATCATAAAAGTAATCCATATGGCTCCAAGGGTTAATAAATGTTTTTTTGTAAGAAAAATATCCATATTTATAACTTAATAAACTATAATCCCTGGCTTCTGGTAACGGCCGTACTTGAGTCTCTATCCGGCGAAAGAGTGACCTCTGACCCGACACATGACATTTTGACGAATGCGAAAGCACAGAGGATAGAGCAAAACGGCCGTTACCATATAAAGCTTGAAAGAGACTGAATGTTTTTTAATATAACTCTGATTGTGTTTGTCTGAAAGAAGAAAGTCACACCTAGGATGTACATAATTTAAACGGACCCAGTGTTAATTTCGTTGACGAAAATAACGACGAAAATTATTCGTCAACGACATTTTTTCACAGACGAAAACGAGACGATAACTAAATAAAACCTAGTTTTGAATGACAAAGACTATGACGAAAATCTATTGACATTTTCGTCAACGAATAAAAACTAGACGAAAATGTTAGATAGTGACGATTTGGGAAGCGATCCGTCAGAACTGATGTCCTGCGTGTGTGGTAGATGCGCACATTTGTAGGCTACTGTAACGTGATCTACCCCGCGGTCATAAAACGTTAAAAAATGTGAACGTCTGGGAGAATGAGTAGAGCAGACATATAGATCTCTGAATAAGAGTGACGATGCAAAAAAGAGCTCTATTTGGTGCGGTTTTCTTTGCGCACACACCTAACCCGAAGCGTGCAGTCATGCACAATACACCTACAGCGCGCGAGTAGGCTACTGAATTGAGCTCTCTTTCGTGTCTGAATGGAGAAATACACGTATGTCTAAATGTCCTTTTTGGAGAGTATTCATGTAAACTATGCTGGTTATGTCTTAAACTGTGAGTGTGTCGGATGTGCATCAGTGCAATTGTATCCGCATGTCATTGGACATGATCCGACGCAGCGCCGCCGCTCCCACCACGCGCATCACGCGCTGTGCGTAGGGCACCAAGTGCTGAGGGGGCACCAAAAATAGCCTAATGAAAAACCAATCATCAAACTTTTTGTTATAATCAGATTCAGCGCGTTCTTCCTCTTCATTCCGCAGCGGCGCCGAGCAGAGACAGAGAGCACGTCAGAAACACAGGACAGGGTGTGTGTGTGTGTTCATGTGTGTGTTCTTCTGAGCCTCATTGGTCTGTCACTGCTCGTCAATGTCAGAATATTTGAGATGACCAATCAAATCAAAGTAGGCGGGCTTTATGTTCACAGACGCTGAGCGCGAATTTTAACAGTGCAACTCTACGCTTCAGTGTACGGTCAAGTGCGAGATAAGATGTAAGTAGCTAAACAACTTTATTTGACAGTTTTTTTTAGGTCATAAATGTTAAACGAATGACAAAAAATAATTAGGCAAACTAATATAGTTTTGTCTAATTTCGCCATTTTTAACTGAAAATAGGCCTATGTAACATGTAGCCTAGTGTAATAGTTTAGGCTACTGTCATTGTGAGGGGACAAGAAACATGAACAAAGCCGTTTTCATCATGTTAGGCACAGGATTTATAATGAATGTGTACATATTGAGAATAAAATACAAATTGTAACCTTTAGTAAATTAAAAAAGCCAACTTTAGGAGGGGAAGAGACAGGGCAAGATAAAAACAAAGAGAAAAAGAGTGTGATGCTGATGAGGAGAGAAAAATAATCAGCTGCCCACTGACATGGTTTTAAAGCTGTTGTTATCGATTTTTTTTTTTTTTTTTTTTTTTTTTTTTTTTGCCTTCACAACATCTTAAAATGCACATCTGTAGTTCAGAAAAATCCAAAATTTCGCCCGAACACCCCTAACTAACCTGCCTCAAATTCGGGATCCCAGTGATTATAAAACCATGCCATTGCATGGTAATGAAACTAGTTAATAGTAAGCATTAGACCCTAATCTAAAGTGTTACTTTTTAGCTTTTTAATTTTTTTATAAATCATACCCTCATTGGGGGCTTAGCCCCCCTAAATGAAAATACTAAATGAAAATGTTTTTTTTTAGGGGGGGGGGGGGGGGCATCATAAAGGAATTATGCTTAGGGCACCAAAATGGCTAGCAGCGGCACTGATCCGACGTCTTAAGCCTTGTTTATACTCGACGCGTCCGCACGAGCGCGAGTCTCCGCTGACTGCGCGCGGACCTCTCCATATGGACGAGGCGTTTATACTTGACGCGCTCGCCGTTGTGCTATTCTGTGAAACGACAGGGGGCGACTCGGAGTAATTCTCCTCTAAACCACCAGGAATCAGCAGTGAAGAAGTAGTTTGCCATTTATTAGTAGTTTATTAATTTCTGATTCATATAAAAAGAGTAATAAATGCAGTATGTTTATTGCACTTTCACTGCATGTAAAGTAAACAACTGAAGCCTTATTGAAGAGTGTTTAAACCTTAATTTCATCAGCAGGGCTTAATTCTGCTATGTAGGCTTATTTTGTAAATGTAAGCAGTTACTTTATACAAGTGCAAACTGGGTGCTTAATGTAAATGTGTTCCTATTCACAAAATGAGAGGCTTTTATGGTCGCCCATCAAAGCAAATGTCTCTGTATATAGAAGGATCATAAACATGGTGGTACAGACATACCAGTTCGGCCAGATTCGTCTCGAAGTCGTTCATCTTCGGATGCGGCGCCGCGCGCGATGTTACAAAAAGTGCCGTGCACACCGCCAGGCGAAATGGGGTCTTGCGCACCCAACGCGCACGACCGCCCACACCGCAATGACGTCATTTTTGCCGCGCGCACTTCGCGCTCTTGCGGACGCGTCGAGTATAAACAAGGCTTTAAAGTGACAGTGGCAATAAACCTAATGCGGTCCGTGTCCTTAATTTTGATCAAGCAACAAAAGAAAAAGAGAAAAGCATTCACTGTTTGTTAATAGCTTTAATAAGGATTAATTATATTTAATTCATACAAATAAATATGTCTGCTTGAAAGAATAAAGAATGATGTGTAAGTAGTTATAAGGAATGAATATATCATTCATTGTAAAGAAGACTGTGTTGTACTTTAGGAAAAGTGGCTTTATTTCATTTTAAGATATTTTTTAAGTAACAGCAGTTAAATCTGTATCTGTATTGCATGTTCAAACTTAAAAATCATTCATATTAATAGGTTAATAGATGTTTTCTCCGGGAGTATATGGGTTTGGAAATTTTAGAGAAATTCTAAATTAACGCATTACAATTGAACTAAACCCATTATATTTTAGTCGACTAAATCTACTGTAGATTTAGTCGACTAAAATGTTATTGTATTTCGTCGACTAAAACTAGACTAAAACTAAAACAATTCAGATGACTAAAATATGACTAAAACTAAATGGCATTTTAGTCAAAAGACTAAGACTAAAACTAAATCAAAATTTGCTGACAAAATTAACACTAGGTGACTTTATTAACATTTGAGTTTTGAAATCTTCTTTACATCTTTTATTCTTCACAATTTACCTGGATAGTCATTGACAAACGTCTGGTAGATCTCTAACAGCTCATCGCCGGTGATGTGTCTGTCTGGGTTTGGAGGGGACTTGAAGTCAAGGTCGTACTTCCCGTCGCGGTAGAACTCGGAGGCGGCTACATCCATCCCGATCACAACTTTATCTGTGAACCCGGCCTTGTCTATGGCGGTCTTTATCAACTCAAGAGCTGTGGAGACGTGATAGAGAAGCCAACAGAGCAGAACAGTAGATAAATTCATTATGATTAAATTGGATCACAAGCTCAGACAAAGGCGATGCACAGACTCATAAACACACCTTCACTGTTCTCCAGGATGTTCGGGGCAAAACCTCCCTCGTCACCGACGTTGGTGGCGTCTTGGCCGTACTTCTCCTTGATGACACCCTTCAGCGTCTGGTAGAGCTCGGCTCCGACACGCAGCGCGTCACGGAATGACTCCGCCCCCACAGGAAGTACCATGAATTCCTGCATGGCGAGCTTGTTTCCAGCATGGGAGCCTCCGTTGATTACATTAAACGCCTGACAAGTGGACAGAGAAAATGTGCTTAGTCAGTCTATTTCCCGAGATAATCAAGAAAAAGCATACCTACAGATGTGAATTATTATGTGCAATTGAGTAATGAGATTTCTTACAGGAACTGGCAGCACTAGCTCTGTGTTTCCTGCCAGATCGGCAATATGACGATACAGAGGGACGCCTTTCTCTGCCGCACCGGCCTTGCAGATGGCCAGAGACACTCCCAGGATGGCGTTAGCACCGAACTGGGCTGTAGACATGATGAACAGATAGAAATTATCATTCTTTTTTATTATTATATCATTTTTTTTATGTGATTTATATGGTGTAGAAAAAAAATCCATATACTGTACATTGAATTTTTTTTTACATTATTGGAACAAGTGGCGAAATTATCACAAGGTCTTTGTTTTAAAATATCAGTTTAAGAATTTGGGGTCAGTAAGAATTTTTTTTTCTTTTTTTTTTAAATGATGCATTTAAGCCAAGGGATCAAAAATGACAGTAAAGGCATTTATATTGTTGCGAAATATTGCTATTTCAAATAAATGCTATTCATCACAGAAAAATATGGATAATAATACATGTTTCTTGAGCAGCAAATCAGCATATTAGAATGATTTCTGAAGGATCATGTGACACTGAAGACTGGAGTAATGATGCTGAAAATTCAGCTTTAGTTCACAGGAATAAATTACATTTTTAAATATATTCACCCCTCGGAAACAGTTCTTGTAAATTGTAATAATATTTCACAATATTTCTGCCTTTACTGTATTTGTGATCAAATAATTGCAGCCTTAGTAAGAATAAAATACTTTTTTTTCTCCAAAAACATTAAAAAATCTTACCAACCCCAAACTTTTGAACAGTAATGTATTTTAGAAACTATTTTGAGTTCTTTATAAATCTTATATCCTATTAAATCATATATAGTTTTTTAAACTTCACATTTGCACATCACAATTGCTTACAATATGTATGATTTTCAGTAATTACATAAGTAACATTTTGGTATGTTTTAAGTGTTTCATGGCCTCAGAAGACATGGAATATAGCAACTTTTATGCTGCTTTTATGTCCTTCTTGGTCATTGTACTTTTAGCGTTTAGAAAATACAGCGTTGAATATGCTGAACATCTCATTTTGTGTTTCACAGAAGAAATTAAGTCATACAAGTTTGAACAATACGAGGGTGAGTCAATGATGCCAGAATTTCCATTTTGGTGGAACTATTTCTTTAAAATATGATTGTTATCATATAAGATAATAACTTACATTTGTTCTCTGTGCCGTCCATTTCAATCATCATGTTGTCTAGTTTCTCCTGTTCCACCACACTGATCTCCTAAAGTTCACATCATGAAGATAAAACTCTCCAGATTAATAAAATACAGTGCTTGATTAATGCTTGATGAAAATGTTGCCTAATCATTAACCCTGCTGCTGTGAAATTAAAAATCATCATCAAAGTCAAATCATCATTTCAGTATTTTTGTATTTGCTTTAGCTTTCGCATTGTAGACATGGAAGTAAAAAAAAAAAAACATGAAAATGAAAGAATGGAATGTGTAGATCAGAATGAAAATCAAGACCTGGATAATAGGAGATTTTGTGTCTCTGCCTTTGGGAGATTTGAAGCAGTTGGACCTGTTTTAAAATCTCCTGTTACAAGTAAACGGGTATAAAATATGAAAAGAAAAATGATTCAAAAAGTGCAGGGGTGGGATCTGATTCTGATCCCATCTGATCGGAATCTGATCTGTAAAACAAACAAACAAATAAACAAATAACAAATAATTAAATTAACAATTGCTTAGAAATTAACGGTGAAAAAAATCTGATTATTGGGAAAGTGCCGACAAACATCTGAAGAAAAACATGTATGAATGAAAAAATATAGGAGGCTGTAAAAGAATGTAAAACACAGTGGGAAAAAATGTAGCCACGTTCATTTTAAAGGAATATTCTAGGTTTAAATACAAGATGTGCCCTCATTAAAACCAAGTATATTTTGAATATTAGCTGCAAATGATTTGTCATTTTTTTTCTTGCAGAAATGAGTCTCAGCTTAATGTAGATAATCTTTTCCAGAAATAAGCAAATATGCACAGATTGCCGTTTATAATCCTTCTCATGCTGGTTGAAAACGAATAGTTTGGTTATTTGTTATTAAAAATAAGGTTAATTAAACAAGACCATTTTTTTTTTCACTTACAGATGCAATGACGGCTGGTCCAAGAGTGTCATTAATGTGACCAACAGCCTTCAGAACACCTTAAAACACAAGAAAACAGGTCAAGACAGATCAAAAAACAAAACTATAGCAGGAGGCTTCAAAACGAATTATCTAATTAGTTGTAAAGTGCCCCTATTATGCTATTTTAAAGGTCCTACTTTTGCTTTAAAGACTACAACAGCTTTAGTTGCATCTATAAGGTCAAAAAACACTTTAATTTTCTCTTAATATACACTGCCTGGCCAAAAAAAAAGAAGTTGCTTAATTTAAACAGGCAAATGCTTAAGAGTCTATGACTGGATAATTATTGCAGGGATTATTATGTTTCATGCATGTTATATGTATGGCAACAGTTATTCTAACCCTTGACTCTTGCATTGTCTATACAAGATTTTTACCCCTCTTGATGGAAATGACATCACATTTATTTCAATCAAGAGGTCCATTCATTTTTGGTCAAGATCTTGTATTGACAATGCAAGAGTCAAGCACTCTGTAAAGTCTATATACGTGCTAGAAACATAATAATCACTGCAGTAATGATCCAGTCATATCATAGACCCTTAAGCATTTGCCTATTTAAAATCAAACAGCGACTTTTTTTTTGTTGGTCAGGTAGTGTATATTGCAAATCACCTCATTTCTCAAAGAGTTTGCGTGAAGATTCAGTCTATCGAAAACCCCTCCTTTCCGTGAGCTACTCTGCTCTGATTGGTCAGATGGCCCAGTCTGTTGTGATTGGTCCACCGCCTACAGCGCATTTCAGAAACGAAACGGCCACATCTGAATTTCAGCTCCGGATCTTCCTCAGCACTTGATACCCAGTAATACGAACAGTAACGATGGCTTTGTTACTGTATCAATTTGAGCCCGAATCTTCATAAGTTTAAAGTGCATACTTAGTAGATTTGCAGCGCTGAAAACAGCGTCTTCTCGACATGTCGACAAACACGAACCAAACTCGTCCAGGTCGCAGCTAGAACTACAGTGTTTGAGGGCGGTTCAAAGTAGACGTCACTCGTGGGCAGCCAATGAAGACCATAGGCTGGCATTATGCAAATTTGTTACATTATTGATCTTTAAAAATTTGCAGACATTTTACATTTACAAACAGCTATTACACACTGCATCCAATGTAATATTAGAAAAAGCATAACAGAGGCACTTTAAACAATCTAATGTTATATAATAGTGCCAATGTTACAATGGACTATCTCTGATCGCTCACCTTTGCCCTTGTAACGGCTCTTGTCTCCATCTCTGAGTTCCAGAGCCTCATAGATGCCTGTCGATGCTCCGCTGGGCACCGCAGCCCTGAACAGACCTGAAAACACACTGACACTTCAAATCTGTCATTCGCTTATACCGGAGATTAATACATAGTGCATCCATATCTTACTGATGGATCTGTGTCAACATAATTAAATTTCTATGCATTTACATTTGCCCCTTAAAAGTTACTTGCATGTGGACAACATATTTCAATTTCATTTTTATCATCTTTTTTTATCAATTGTATTTATGCATTTTGGAAGATGCTTTCAATAAATACACTTTTTTGGACATTCATCCAGGAACTCAATTTACATTGTAGATAACACATTCCACGTATTCCTTTGCTTTTAAAATCCAGGATGGCATTCAGCTCAGTCATTTTGAAGACAGGCTCTATTGATTCACCTTTATCAGTTCTCAGGTCCACCTCCACTGTAGGGTTTCCCCGAGAGTCCAGGATTTCCCTGGCAACGATGCTCACAATGGACATCCTTAAAGACAGAGAGGAAACAAGAGAGCATGAGAGCTAAACTTCTGCCATCGTTGGTCATGATGTTTAGAAACTCATGGCATCGAATTAATTGACTTTGCATGAGAAAGATACATATCTAACAGTGAGTGTTTTGGTCAACCTGCATCTGCCATAAATCTCCTTTTACAAATTATAAATCTTGCTCATATGCAAAATACATCAATGTAAATGATGAACTAGGGTTTTTAATGGACACAATGTATTTTGTGATCCAGACCACGATTAACAGAATGAGCAATTTGTGAACAAAAGGCATTTCATGAAATGCTTAATGCATTTTGTTCGTCAAAGGTGTTTGGAAAAGTACATTCATGTACACAAAATGGAATTTTGGGGTTTAGAATTCTGTTGTCGAAAAACAGCTGGCTCTTGTCTTCCGGTGTACGAAACTGCATTTTTTCATGAAATACTGCATTTTTACGTAATTCTTTTAGTCCACAGATTTACTCAGGTTACATTTTCCACCTGGAGAGGCGATAAAAGAAATATGTCTAAATGAACACGATCAATGCCTGCCTGCTCACCTCCAAGGGGTCAACATCTGGATGTTTTTTTTTACATCGGAAAAAAGTTGGCCGAGAATGGATTGCATCATGAATAATGGGAGTTCCGTACAAGAATACAAGTTTGCTAAAACAATACCTATTTTGGCTATCCGTTAACATACATTTACAAGCTTTTACTGGGCAACCAGGAACTTGCATAAAGTGAATAGCATCCATTTTGACTCAATAGGAGTGCCAATCAATCTGATTGCTTTGAAAATAGGACCATTTTTCTGGAACATTCAGTTCCGTCCTTCTTACCAATGAGAGATATAGCTCAACCATCGACAGCGACATGCCACGCTGGCAGCCAATAAAAAGCCAGAACAAGCCAATTTCATTCTAAATGTGCCACGACCGACATGGGCACACGTGTCACCTTGCTAATGGAATGCGCGTCCACCGACCACCAGAATTTAGACTGGGGGGACTCAGCCGGGGAGGAGGTGGGGCTTTATTTGTAATGACAGGACGGGCATGTATATGTCCGCAGGTGCCGCACGGTGCGACCAGCTCATGATCGTGCATCTAAATCCGGACGCTGCTTACGCCGTGTCAGTGTGGTACTGCAGCAAGCGTGCTGTCAGCAGTTATACAGGGGGGAGGGGGCGATCAACGGAGGGGTGGGGTGGATACCGCAGAAAGTGGCGTGATGGGGCAAGAAAAAGATAAATAATTTAACATCCCTTTGGCGAAAAGAAGAGCTTTCTGGATCATCGAAGCGCGTATTGGAGACGGACGGAAATAAGAACCAGCGATGGGACGTTTTTGCGTTTGTCACGTGACAAATATACCAAAGACTCGGAACTCGCGCGGTGAACTAATTATGTAGATTCTCATAGCCTACTTAACTCCATTAATTGTTTCGTTTTAATAATAATAATAATAATAATAATAAAAGCGTGTTCGGGGAATTTGGCAATTGAAAATATAGACAGCACTGCTATGCTCAAATGAATAAAGATTTTACTCAAGATCAATACAGTAAAATTGCCCGATCATCCCGTCACCACTGTGAACAGCTTGGACGCACATTGATAACACGTAATGTAGCCTACAAACAGACACACAGTGCAGGATCCATTTGGCCGACCCCTTAGCAAAAAAAAACAAACAAAAAAAAAAAACACTGCCACCCAAATTTACATCCAGCATCCCAACATAAGGAGTGACTCCTCATGCAGGAGACTGTCCGCAGAGACATGCCCTAAACAGCAGCGATGTCTTGATATGACAATTAATTCCTGGTTAATTAATCCAACATGCACAAAGTCATGCCAGAGCCTATATTAACCCATTCAATAGCATTATTTATGGCCAAACCAAACCATCTTAAAGACCCCGCAACAGATGCATTTATGAAGCAATCATGCAAAGGAGCAGCGGAAAGTGCAGACAAGAAAAAAAGGCTTTCATGCGATGATTACCTGCCGTCAGTGCGCGTAGCCTTGCGAGAGGCAAGCCTGGAAAGAAGTGTTGAACTGCGGAAGAGAGAGCCAAAACAGAGCGAGAGTGGGTGGAAACCAGAATGAGAGCGAGATGAGAGGAGAAACAGACGGGGGAGGGGATGAAAAGATGAGTCAGAGGAAGATGCTGAGAATTAGAGAGGAGAGGAGGAGAGAAAGAGGGGGATGAGTAGGTCAAGGCGACTGATTAATAAGCGGGAACGAGGGACCCGGGAAGAGGAGGGGAAACAACAAACACAGGGTACTGCAATGTTCCTCTGTGACTGCTGGTAAAAATAGATGGAGGAACTGGGTAGACCGTGGAAAGAGGCAAGACTAAAATCTGAATGCAAAGCTTATGATGACTATTAAAGTCACCATGAAATCAAAATTCAAATTTTTTTATGAAATATTGAATTATTTATTATAACTGCATGATTATATCCCCATCCTCTTCTCTGATGATGTGATTACTAGCGCGAGGGCGGGACAACCTGTCACTCACATGAGATCGACCAATAGAAAACCATTATGTTAAATTAATAAGAAATAGTTCAGAAATGTTATGTTTATTTTTGAATTCATGTGAATTTTAACTCATTTTTTGTGAGTTACAAATAGGCTTCTTCTTAAAATATTAATACTTTTTTTAATATATGATTATATAAAATATAATTATTTTTACTTTGCATGACTTATCAGTGCATGATTTTCCAAATAATAAAACAGAAATGTTTGTCTGGATGATCTTTCATTAAAATACAAGTTGCTCTGCCCCTGAACCCACTTTCCTTTTCTGCTGATGTCACCAAGGCCACTTTGGCTGTTGCATATTTGTTAACAAATAGCCAAAAAAAAACTAATAGTTATTTTAGTAAATTCACATTTAGATCAATTTGGGACCCACTTTTTTACACAAAATTCCCAATTGATAAAATCAATTTCAGTCTAACATTTTTTCCTTTATTGAATTTTACACAGAAATGTCACTCATTACGGAAGTAACATGCATTGCTTTTGTTTTTTAATTTAACAATTACATTATTTAATTGAACAAATTCTTTCTATATTTATGAAGACAACTGGACGATTATCTCTGTGTTGTATGCGTTTGGAATATAGTCAAAACATATATTCAAGGGTTTGCTGACTGACAGATTGTATCAAAGGAGAAAATATTGTGTTTGTATGCGAGTGTGAAAAGTATATGAGATCGGCACATAAAGGTGAGTGAAAGATAATTACACTGTTTATTTTAATGAGATAATTTTTTCAGGGAATTGGGTCACACTGATCTTAACACTACATTCATACTGAGATAAAAGGTATTATTTTGAGAATAACAGGCTATACAAACCTCAGTCACAATTACATAATTTTGTGGTGCTTCGAAGTTCTGAGTGTGATTAATGTTTCATGTTTTTTATTAATGTTATTAGAGAATAATGTTTCTTAAGATTTCTAAAGAACTGGTGCCAGTTTCTCTAACCTGACATGTTTGTTCTTAAATTCACAAAAGAAAAGGTGGAAACACTATCAGGATATTAAAATTTGCATTAAGCAATAGTAAATGTTCATGTTAAGTGAAATCATTAGGCCTCTTGAATCACTATTAAGTGTTCAGTTAAGTGGTTTAAATATAGAAATGTCCTTGAGTGAACCTTATTTTTGTGTCCGACAATCTGTTCATGAAATTCCTTTTAAGATAATAACTTAAATACATCATACAACAATTATAAACAAATTAACCAACAAAGGTCAATAATCCAAAACTCAAGTGGATAAAATATTGACAAAATGTGTGTTTGTTTTGGCACAGGAGTTGAAGGCTTGAACAAAAATGAGAAAACCCTGCACTGAAACTTGATCGTTATTGTGCTGAATAAACATATATACAGTATATAACCTGCCAACAGGATATATAAGATCAGCAGTGTCTCTCTGTCCCTTTTGAAATGCCACTCTTAAAAGAAAGATCTTTTTATTGTGTTGACATTAGAGCCTGAATAAACAAATCTACACTGTAAAAAAAATCTGTAGAAATTACAGTATTACTGGCAGCTGGTTGCCAGTAACTTACTGTAGTTTTAAATTGATGTTATTTACTGGCAACAGTTTGTTCAAAGTTAAATGAACATTAAACATTAACAAGTCTTTATCTTTACAGAATAAAACTAAAATAACAGCCTCATGCAAAGCATTCTGGGAACCAAAATCTGAAGGAAAAAAACAGAAAAAGGTTGATGAAGATTTCTGGTTCCCAGAATGCTTTGCATTAGATTGTTATTTTATAATTTTATTCTGTAAAGACAAATACTTGTTAATGTTTAATGTTCATTTAACTTTGAACAAACTGTTGCCAGTAAATATACATCAATTTAAATCTACAGTAAGTTACTGGCAAACAGCTGCATAATTACAGCAATTTTTTTACAGTGTATGGTATTCTGTTGAGTCATGGCTTCCCAGCATGTGTCAAATTCACTTTATAGCAAACAGGTCACTGTGTATAGACTAGAGACTGTTATCATTTCTTTAGAAGAGAATATACAGCAGTGTGTGCATCTTAAGACATGTTAACACCCTGTTAATGTTACAAACTGCTTGATTCTATAAAGCATCCCATGGAATCACATTTAAATCAATAGTTAATGCAATCACCATTTGATAAATGAATGTGTATTTTTATACTCACTTAACTTTTCTACTCAGGTATACATATCTGATAAGCTGAATGTTCAGCAGCCATTACTCCAGTCTTCAGTGTCAAATGTTCCTTCAGAAATCAAGAAACATCTCTTATTATTATGTTTAAAACAGTTAGGCTGCATGTTTAACATTTTTGTGAAACCATGATCATTTTTTTCCAGGATGATTTTATGAATAGAAAGTTTAAAAGAAAAGAACAGCATTTATTTGAAATAGAAACCTGTCTTTACGGTGTACTTTTGATCAATTTAATGCAACCTGAATAAATAAAAGTATTAATTTAACTTAACTCACACCTTTGAATGGTATAGTGTAAACATAAAAAAATAAGATCATTTTAATGAATTCAAATGCCGTATTGTCCTACATCAAATGTACGGTGTATTTGAAGTTCTACTGAGAATTAAACCAGACATTGCAAACAAAACAAATTAAGATGTGTAACTATATAATAATCAAGTCTTTGGGTCGGCAGGTTGTGGATATATTACTCCTGGTCACTAGGAGGAGCTTTATTATATTCTTATCTAAGATTTCCACAGTCAATCACTAGAGGTCACCATCAACACGTTCCTCACGTATATCATTATTCTAGTTAACCACCATGTAAATACAGACAGCAGACAGTTCATTTACCAATTGTTAACCATTTTACAAAAGGGTTTCGTAGTCTTCTCCTAGAACTCCTTGTGCTAATTTACAGGATTTATGATGTTTTGTTCTCCAGGCAGATTTACAGCAGTTGAATTATGGATTGAGTTTCTATCTGAATAAACACCCTGCATAGATCCAAACCATTCTCTGCCAGTATTTTAGAAGTTGCAATCAAAACTGATGGCCTTATGTTGGTAGGTTAAAAATAGCACATAGTTCTTAAGCACATCTGGAAGAGAGTCACGGCTATTGATAATTGAAGTAATCTTATATTTTCAGGGTATAGATGTGTTGAACATTTCTACTCCAGAGACTCTATGACTCGATCTGAAACACATCTGTCTACACACATTTGTGGCGGATGATGTCTATAGTGCAAGCCAAGTACAATAGCAAGACATTCCCTAAAAAAAATATATTGATCTTCTATTTAATCATTCAGATATGCGATGTAAATTCATTTTCATAAAAGAAAATATATCTTTATATTGCTAAAGATATGTAGTTCTATGCGATCCACACAAATACAAACCCAGTGCGCCTATAAGCATTATTAATTATTAAAGAGCGTGCATTTGACCTGATTTCAAATGTTTTGGAAAATCACCCATGATCTCTTGTATTTCCCCATGCATCTCATGCAATATTTCTTTTTTATTAGAATGAAAGATTTACACACCTGAACTACATACGGTATTGTGTGTGTTGCATGTTGCAATGGGGACCCTGAAGCTAATGCATTATAACCAACATCCTTTGTTTACTTAATGAAGCACAATACGTTCATGTGGTAAAATTAATCAATCACAATGCTCCGGGATATGATGGGGGTGGGGAATATGAGGTCATGGAAAAGGGTATGGCCATTATATCATAATGTATATTGAATGACTCAAATACTCATAATCTCCATACTGGGTGCCTTTTTTGGACTGATTACTTCCCTTTTCATAATGTTTACAATGTACATTGTGCATAAATGTCTGAAAGGTGTACAAAAACAATTAAACAACAAACTGAAGGATAACGTCTAGTCTATGTGACAAATATGAACCTGCAAATACAAGGATGCTCAGTAGAGAGCAGAAATCAGTTTATGAACAGTTCTGCATGATTTAGTATGGGGTTCAGACTGAGATTAAAGGTGGGTGGGGGTGGGGGGGATATTCGTTGGGCATATTATGGGATGTCTGGGCCATTAGTGAGGGGGAGGGGTGGGGGCCGGGTTTAAAGGGGGGAAGAAAAAGAGAGTGAATATCACACTCAGGATTGTTCATTTTTGTCTCTTTATTTTGGGGGGCTTTTATTTGGCTGTATGGTAGAAGATTCACCTGTGAGAGACTGCTATTCTCATTTCTACCTCATGAAACAAGAAGATTGCAACATTTTTAGTATATATATATCAGTGACTGTTCTTAGGTGTAGCGCTAAAACCCCTAAAAATATCCTCAAAACAAATGTAGCACTAATATAAATGTTACTATTACTATTAAATGTTATGTATGAGCAACAAAGCCTACCGGTACATTAATTCTGTGCATTTGAAGGAGACTAATTGCACAAGCAAAGTTAGCGATTCAAATTGAAATCACGGCCTGTTGGTTTTTGTTTTTTGGCCACATCCAACATCGCTTATGTCTTAAGAGTTTATCAGTAGTCATCTCTGATGGTGTCCATATGTGGCGCTTTCACCCAGTTATGGAGTCACGTTCAGTACGGTGAGGGTGTGGGGGGAGGAGGGAA